CTACCCTGTCCTAGGAGTTAGAATCAACCCCATAGCAGCAAACTTGGAGCGTGCATGGGTGGTGGTGGTGATTGGCGGCAGGGGCGTACAACAAGTGATTATTTTACGTAACTCTAGTTCAGACCATCTTTTTCATGCATTACCTTTAAACTACACTACAGCATCTATAGGGTCCTAGGAACCCTGGTGATATCAGTTGTAGTCGCCTATGCACTGGGCTGCTTGCTACCTACCAGGTTGGTAGTTCAAACCTATGGGGAAAACATGAGGTTTTCTGCCCAATAGAGATTTACAGCCTTAGAAACCCTGGGAAGCAGGACCACTCTGCCCTTTGGTTGCCATGAGTCAGAATCAGCGTGAAGGCAGTAGGTTTGGGGGATTGGTCCTCAACTAGCCAGCACAGACGGCTTGGAGCAGGTGACTTCACTTGTAAATAGAAGAATTCACATTAAAGTTCTTCTAAAGTTCCTTCCAGCTCTCACATTCCAGGACTGCATAATTCTCATCTCTGCAAAAAAAAATCCAAGGCAATTCAAACATGATGTTATTAGACGAAAGGGAGTAATATTGGACTAGATTCAGCACACGGAGATCTTTCCAACACTATGATTCCATGAGCGATGTAAGATTATCAATGCTACAAGAAATGGTTTCATCCAAGGCCACGACAGTTACGAATGTTGAACGGATAAGAAATTTAAGATAGAAATTATTGAAACATTATTTACAAAACCATATATAGTGAAGAAAAAAAAATAGGGTAAGGGAGGAGCAGGATCCTAAACATTTTCTCTATTAAAACAGGCAGGACTTCATATTGGATAATTTGTTTCTACTTGGATGATGTAACCATGCTAGATTTAACTGCTCTTAATAACTAGTACATTTCAGTCATCTCTCACTTTCTCCCACATAGGATACAATCACCCTTTCAATGACCTACTTTATGAGTCATTTTTTTTCCCTCTTCATGATTCAGAACAGCGTCTTCAGACAGTATTTCCCAGACTTTTGTGGGTTTAGTCCAAGGACCAATTTCATCTCCATTGGTTTCCTACAGGAAACCAGACCAACTTCCTATTATTTTATTTTCCTTACTTTCAGCATTCCATAGCCCACATCACATTAACTGGAAGTGAGAGTGATAGAAGACTTTACACTACACAGAGAGAAGCCAACACAAACAATGCCCAATAACAGTCTGGACGTTGCAATGAAAAACTAAATGCATAACGTGCTAATATTAGAACAAGGAGTGACACACCAAATCATCGTAGGGAGAAATGGACTTGGATTAGATTTGCTACAAGCACTACACTGTCAGAAAGTACCATGATTTCATTTTTAAAAATCTGTTGTTTATGAAAACAAATTAGATTAATATAGAAAGTATTTGTAATGAACAAAGTGTGCCTTTTCCATCTGGATACCCTGATAACCTGCTGGGGAAGAGGTAGCCCACTGACCCCCAATTCACTGAGCCATGGAGTGATCGTGGGACAGTGTTACCCCAGCAGGCTAGCAGGAGAGCAGTCTGCTGCTATCCACCCCCTCCCACCCCACTTTCCCCATTACTCAAGATCAATCTGCCCTTAGGTCATAAGGAACAGCAGGAAACCTCGGCTTTAGAGGACATTCTCACAGCGCCTTGCAATCATGCTATTTCTGTGAAGTCCCGAACACTGCCTGAGTAACATTTATTTTCTCAGACTACAGACTGCTCAGAATTGGAAGGGCTCTGATATAAACATACCACGTACCGCAATTCTCTTTGGATTATTTCCCTTATCATCATTCTTCTCTGGGGGTATTGTTTAAGGTTTTACAAGTTCAAAGGGTCATTACCAGGCAGGGTCCCGGATGATTTTTTTAAAATCAAAACTGAAAGTACATACACTAAAGAAAAAGGTGCATGAAGAAAGCATTGTAGGCAGTGTATCACCTGTGGATCAGCCAGGAACCCTGCAGCATGAGAGCAGCGGCTCTCAGCGAGTGGTCCCAGACCAGCAGCAGCATCACCTAAACACATCTCAGAGATGCAGGTGCTCAAACCCTTCCCCAGATCCGATGAGTCGGACATTCAACGGGTAGTGACGATGTAAGCTTTAGGTAGTATATTTCCACTCTTCCCTCCACCACGGAATTTCTAGAAAATTCACTTGATTTAGATTCCCTATTAACCACTAAAGTTCTAAGCACCTTGAACTCTGGCTACTTCCTTTTATCCTATTGCTAAAATGCTCCTTTTAAGGTATAGCATCTGGGGTCTTAAAGG